ATTATAATTATGATCTGAAAAGTAAATCAAATACGAAGTCCGTCTGTTATCAGTTTAACTTCCTGTAAAATTAACAGTGAAGGACTGAATGTGAGAAGAATTTTCATTGGTCATTTTCAAATTACAAACTGAAGTCGGTGAATCTCATTGGTCATTTTAAAATGAAATGTAAAGGACAGTTCTAACCATTCTATAATAAAATGTAAAGGATAGTTCTTACAATTCTAAAATAAAATTTGAAGGATTGCTCTAAGATAAAATGTAAGGGATAGATTTTAGGTATTAGATAGGAATGGGTAAAGTTCAGTTAATTTGTAAATGATTACAAAATTTATAAAGTCAAAACAAGTTAAAGGGACACCTTAAATACGAGAAGTTATCCTACTTTGAAAAGTCAGCAATATCAATATGCTATAATTTAATTTCAATGTTTACAAATGAATATTTTCTTAGCTACAAGATATGATTATTATGTCATTATTATGCAAGCATTGCTAAGATTTCTTTTTGTATTGAAAACTTAGAAATAACATGATTTTGGATGTTTACCAGTTTTACTTCAGTCTAGTATCTTTTTTAAAGATACTTCATGTCGTCCATTTTGTAAGCATGTGGTATTAAATTGTCCAATCTGATTAGCTAAGGACATGCGGGGTACGGGTGTGGCCAAATCGGATTACTTTTATACATTGCCGCCTAAAAACAGCAACAATTCCTCTTATTTTTCTTGCTATTTTGTTGTTGTTTGTATCAATAGTAGGCATATAATATTAACATATTGATTAATGCTTTGTTATCAGGTTACTATTTTTTTCTATTTTTTTTTTATGGTGAAGGATGAATATTTGAATTCAGCTAGACTTAAGGGTCGAGTCTTATTTTTGAGATTAATTGTAATTAGATGCGTTTCATAAAAGTAAAGAGAAAGCATTAAAATACAATAAAAAAAATTATTTCGAACATATACTCTAAAATTTTAAGTAATACATTTGTCATGTTTGTAAAAATATCATTTTTGAGATTGATCAAAAAAGGAAAATTTATGCTAATTTCTCTCAATAAATATGTCGAAACTCGGGAAATAGCGGCAAAGTAGGTTAGGGTTTATAAAGCTAGAGCAGTATTTAAATTTGTATTTCACAAGTTATGATTATTTAATAATAATATGACTTTTTCTTTTATATCACCACTTACCAAAAATCCAAATATATCCGGTACTTCACATTTAAGAGGATTAAAGTGTTGCAATCATATTTTGCAATAATATTTTCAAAATTGAATAATCGGAAATGGTGGTACACACACCTGTGGTCTATAGATAAACTGACGGATTAAGAAGTGAAAGTAAGGAAAATTAAATTAGTGACAAATAAAGCGAATAAATCTAATAAGGTTACGGCGAATAACTTCAAACACGTTTTCAAATACCTGCGGAGGCTTTTACAATCCGTAAACACCTATTAGGGTGATGGCTTTTATCCCTGCTCGGAACACCGTATATTTCAGTTAACATCTAATTTGTACAGTATAATGACGGGCTCAAACGGGCTGTTTTCAAAGAAAGAGAAAGATGGTATAAACACACGTGCAAATATGTGATTTTACCTTCATAGTTTATCTTCTGTTGTGACTTGAAAGAAAAAACATGTGCTTGGCACAATATTCAAAATGTTGCAAAAATCACGCACGTGGCCAAACAGAACCCGTACTTGCTTTCACAGACAAAAATTGTACATGGAATGCAGTTAACATCAACATGAAATATACGCATATGAAAGAATATTTTACATTCGGGTTTTATGCGATCTGAAAAGAAACACTTTAAGGTTTGATTAAATGATATCAATTTTATTTTCAAGAAAACAAAGTCCTTAAGAAGCAGTACCATCACGAAATCCAGTGGCGACTCTTGAAACATTCAAAAACAGTCCTTGTTGAAAGGTGGTTTCTCGACACAAACATTAGCATACTTGGTGTTCAAACTGGAAAATAGCATTACAGCTTTATAGTAACAAGTATGTTTGAGGAATTATATGAACTTTGTCATTTATTGTTTCATTCCTTTTTAGCATATACAATGTATACTAATTTGCTACACTAGAACCTTAAAGTCCGTGTAGCACACAAGTATCAGTCCAGTCAACATGAATGTCGCTTCTGTTTGTTATAACTTATAAGTACATGTCCTTAATCTGTGAGAAATAGCGCAGTTACTCGTACCTTTGGCATCATCACTATAAGGTAAAATATGCTATATTCATTTTGATGAGACTATACATACACACTATATACCTGATTTAAGTTGCCATGGAGTCCAAACAGTGTATGCAATGCTGCCATCCTCCATAAGCATTCCTTCATTGTCGTCTTGACTGATTCTTTATCATCGGGTTCATGTTTAACAGGACCTCAGGTTTTTATGTATGATTCTTAATTATTTGAAAATTATCTATTTTAGTTTAACTTGACTTGACTTGAATTATTGGCTAAAATAAAAAGAAAAGTTTGATTTTTTTTAGATTTTTTTATTTTCTTTTATTATTATTTTCTTTCTTTCTTTTTTTTTGTATTTCATTTATTTATATATACTGAAGTAGCAAACGAATGGCAGTAAACATGTTTGACATATAAAAATTCGTAGTATACTGATTTTCAAATGGTATCTTATGTATGTGTCGTCATAGGAATGGATGTCTTTGGTTTTGAAGGTATTTAAAGCGGTTATAAGAATAAATTAATGACCAAATTTTAAATGTTATTTAAATGAAATTCCTTAAATCTATTGCGAGGGATTTTGGTTTTTACAAGTAGCGTTAGTCATAAACAGACTAAAGACTGTGTAATAACGAATAGACCTTAAATATGCGAGTTTAAAATGAAAAGAGATATTTCTCATTTCACAGTACAACACGTTTTTAAGGGTCCTTCAAGTCACTTGAAAATGTCACAAGCAGGATAAGTAGCGGGTAATACCACTGTATTTAACAATAAAAACGCCAAACGATTTTAACTGACCGCACATGACAAGGTATTGTGGGTAGCCTTATTTTCACAGATTTGTGCGTGCTAAACTTTACATTTGACAGATTTTGTTTTAATCACGGAAAAGCCTTTAACGCACGCTGTAAGACTATCTTAAATACTTTTTAACTCTTATTTTTACTGAAAGTGTAATTGCCCTTTTTACTTTTTTTTCTTTTTTTTTTTTTTTTTTTTTTTTTTTTGAAAAACACACGGTTTTACATAAACATAGATATTTATTATCAAATTCCTCTAAAATTATATGATCTTTTCCTTATGAGCAATTAATTTGGTCGAAATACTGAATTCTTATTTCCCCTGAGTTTACAAGAGTTGTCATCAAGCACGGGATTCATCATGCACGTGACATAAAATACTTAACAGCTTGAGATATAGACACATCTTTATTGTATGAAAGAATGTCATTTCTTTAATTTAATTTCAATTTAAAGTATCTTTTCTTACAGACTAAACTTTCACTGTAGAACGGAAAGGCAATAAAACCGAAATAACAATAATCTGTGATGAAAGAAATACTTTTTTTGTTTCTCTTAAACCTGGGTGAGAATTGAATATTTGCATATAACACGTTCATGTAGCCTTTGCAGTGAACACGGTGCAATATTTAAAACAAACTTCACACCTGCTTGTGAAAAGTTTCACTGCAAATAATTTTGTTTGTAGAAGGTATTTGAGTTAGCTATATGTAATCATTGTGCATCAAAGAGTGAAAGAAGTAAAACAAAGTTGAACAGCAAACAAGTACGTCTAGACTTGTATTTATATGTAAGCTATGTTGACCATACAAAATGTGATAGTCACCGAGCACCGCACTGTATCCAAAATATTTGTACCCGAAAACAAATGACTAAAAACTGACGCTGAAGATTCAAAGACTCTAATCTTCTTTGTCTAACTATTCATAACTGACTATTCTTTATTTCAAAGATATTTTGGTCAGTTATGGTTATTAGAACTAACTTCACAACTGTACTGGTATGATTTTGTTAAACATCATCATTATTTCGACCACCCGAATCAGTCCAAATTTCCGTCGCCGGCCGCTATCCAAAGTTATTATTACAATACCATTACATTTAACTCGGAAACTGATTCTTCCAATGCGACAAGTGCGGACCATTATCAGCCTGCATATCCGTGACATCTGATCATGGTCTGCACTGTTTTCTTGTTCAGTCCATATATATCTTGACATTTCCCCTAAAAATGAAAGACTTTTTACCAGGTTTATAGAGGAACACGTTCATATTTAAGATTTTCAGCGTGGTGAAGTTTAAACACTGTATAACCGTGTTTTTATCAAATAAGAATGACGGTCTTAAAGACTGGACAATTACATTTTAGGTCAGAAAACGTATAACATGAAAACCTTACAAAAGTTATTTTTTACTTTGTAAAGTTAAAGTTTGCTTCAAATAAATCGCTAACATTTTTCTAAACATTTCGTTGTGGTAATATCAATTATATACCTCACATAATGTTTTCATGATATGTTTTTAATTCACGGCTGACATTTAAGTAACTTTTTTACCTTTTCAAATCAGATTATCTTCAAAAAAACTTTGACAGCCCCTTACGACACGTTGAAGAAGAAATCTGAGAAACAAGAACATATAATATGAATTTCCTTGGTCAATATTAAACAGAAGACAGGTGTCAAATTGTTGTACAGTAAAAGAAAGATATTCACCGCTCGATGAATAATATCAAGTATGTGCGAAATTTTGAATAACCAAGTCAACAGCACGTTTTACTAGTTCAATCTATATACGTTATGCAAATTAAGAGTCACTCAATAGAATTCAACACATTAAAGTTGTACCGACTGGGGGAAAAAAGAAGACCTCTTAATGTATCAGAAATGCTACCGTTTAGTCATGTTTAATGATTCTTAATTCAAAAGCCAGGCTAGGTGGTTCATGATTTAAATTTGCAGTGTCACAATTCGGCGGATCTTACAAAGCAATCTTAGATCGACACACGGATAGGTTGAGAACAGATGAATCCTTTTGTGAAGGTATTTCTTTAAAACGGTGCGAGCGTAATGTAAACTTTATCCACATTTCGGTAATTGAATAGTGCATACCGTATTTTTTGCATTAATTTAATTTTGGAAAATATGAAAATGTAAACAATTTTTGGCAGTTTGCTAAACACATTTGAGATTATGATTGACATATGGGTAGGCGGGGCACGGAATTAGTTCGAGTGGATAATTCCTTCAGTAATTGAGACTCAGTTTTGATGGATATTCAAGAGCCGTTCTATCCTTTGACAAAACAATTGGTTGCCAATCAAATAAACGCTAAACGCATATGTATCAGTAGTGTGATAGATATCATTATATTGGTGTGTATGTAACGGATTGCACAAACTCTTGGGAATGTTTAAGCTAGGCTTTCACTTAATTGTTACTTTTCACACCTTATTTAAGTTGCGCTTATATTCTAAGTAAACATTTTATTTTGTATATTTATTGTAAACATTTTATTTGCTAAGTATTCTCTCACATTTGAAAAGGATAAAAGGGCACGTATCGAAAGTAGATTTTCATTTTTCAAAGTGATTTTGTCACGGACGTTCTCATTGGCGGATTAACGATTCAGTGTGTTACTACGCGGGTAAAGTCCCAAAGGCGAAACGGAAGATGCGTGTGTCATTGCTTTTATTGCATTTTGAGCTTCAGTTCACATAAAATAGTCCTTATCTAGATGCTCTGTCAATTAGATAGGTTTTAAAATTTCAACGATAACTATTGTACTAGCTGGAGTTAAATCATACGGAATTGGATCTTTGAGTCAAGTGTATACGACAATAATTACAACATATACATTTCAACAGGATTTTATAACAATTTTTAACAAATATACTTTGTAAATATTCTTCGGAATTTTGCAGTAACAGTGCGAATTTTTGGAGTATTTTTGCTCGCAAAAAATAAATAACAAAAAAACTTGGGTTTTATTAATTAAAATGTGAACGGAAAATACATATAAGCAAAAGATGAAAGGAGCAGTTATATGATTGAGTATTCCAGAACGGTGAACAGATGGCTGATTTTATCATCATTCTTTGAGATAATGAAGTCTGTAAGCGGCACGTGAGGTGGCCAGGGTGAATATAAAACAATTATTCCCGTCATATTACATTATTTGAAGGATTTATTTGTGTTTTGGGAAAAAATATATATCTATCGGATGGATCATTAAAATAAATGGAGGTATAAGTTTTGTAAATAAAGTCAGTTCTGTGTTAATGTTTTCATGCTTTTATAAGAAATCATCAAAGAGGACAGACATGACTAGATATATGAAGATGGAGTCATTTTTTCCACTTGGATTATTATATCTTATAGTTTCTGTGTCGTGCAACGCGTCATTTCTAGACATTTTTACAGACAACCAAATTCCCGACGACCCGTGCTACGACGAGGTTGACGAACCAAAAAGATGCATTCCTGACTTTATTAACGCCGCGTTCGGTAAAGAAGTTGAGGCTTCGAGCACGTGCGGAAACCCGCCAAGCCGATACTGTACGTCCAGTTCCGACCTAGAGGATAATATTATTAGAAGTTGTTATATATGCGATGCTAATCATAACAAGAGGCAGCATCCGTCATCATATCTAACAGACCTCAACAATCCAAATAATTTGACATGCTGGATGTCGGAACCGTTCGTGCAATTCCCGCACAATGTTACTTTAAAATTATCTTTAGGCAAAAAATTTGAATTGACTTACGTAAGTTTACAATTTTGTTCCGCAAAACCAGATTCCATGGCTATTTTTAAAAGTATGGATTATGGTAAAACATGGATTCCAATACAGTACTATTCCAGCGACTGTAAGAAAATGTACCAAAAATCTTCTCGTGCGGTGGTCTCCAAAGCGAACGAGCAAGAAGCCCTCTGCACAGAGGCTTACAGTAGCATAGACCCGCTGAGCGGCGCACGGGTCGCATTCAGCACGTTAGAAGGTCGTCCTTCTGCCTATGACTTTGACAACAGTCCAGTGTTACAGGATTGGGTAACTGCCACTGATATCATTATAGTTTTCAACAAGCTTAATACGTACGGCGATGAGAGAAATCAAGCTGTGATTGCACGTGAAAGTTACTATTACGCTTTGTCGGATTTTGCTGTCGGCGGTAGATGTAAATGTAATGGACATGCATCCAAATGTATTACCGACCGCGATGGTAACCTTGTATGTGACTGTAAACACAACACCGCCGGGCGGGATTGTGAAAAATGCAAACCTTTCCATTATGACCGCCCATGGGCACGTGCAACTGCTCGGCAACCAAACGAATGTATTGGTAAGTAAATAACTTATATCAAATTAAAATTTCAAACGTTATTATATAGATTGTATACATGTTTCAGTAGTTGTCATAGCTTTATTATACCGTCTGTTAACATGCATGTTCGCATAACTTTGCGGTAGGTTTTTTTTTCAGAAACTTTACACAATATACCGATAAATGCAATAAAAACATTTGTGTCATACTAACAGAGAAAGTATATCTTGTAAAACTATCCCATCTGTCCTGTCATTAAAATCTTCTAGTTTTATCGAATTACTAAAACCTGGATATAATTGCAAATTTATGTGCATTTTCATGCAATAATATGTTAGCTAACAATATGTTGTTATATTGAGTAAAAACGACGTCCTTAACTTACCAAGTACCTGTTATTATGGTCTTTATTACCTCATGTATTTCTTGAGGTTATAAAATTTGCGATTGTTATCTTCCATATGATGCAGCAAAAAACATGAATCCATAGCTTGATAATCCTGTTTAAAAAGGCGAGTTTAAAAGATACGAATGTCAGTATCGTTCTGCTAGTAAGAAAAAAAAGGTTGTGCCAATTTTTCATGATTTATTTGTAGCAAGAAAGGCGGAAAGGTGTCACTCGACTATGCATTTCCAAGTCGATTATATCTTTCAACGTCTGTACAGGTTAAATATGTCACAGAATGTTCTGAGTATCTAGCAACAATGACTTCTAGCTTAATTTTGACAGCATAAAATGTTGAAGAGAATATTTTGCGTTCTTTGGTTACCTTTGTGTTAATTACTTTTGTATTAATAGTTGGATTAATAACTTTAATACGACTTTTAAAGTAATAAGTCTGCTTTTTGATGGGAATAATGCACTGAAATTAACGCAATTGGTGTTTAAGGGTTGTATGAATTATATAATAATGAAAACAGTGACTTATTTACCAGTCACCATGCACGTGAAGTAAGATGCCTATTACAGTCAATACCCACTTTAATATTGAACAGACGTGTTGAAAAGATCATATTGAATTTGACTGATTCTTTCGTCGACAGACTAAGCAATAAATTCTTCCCTACATCTTTTTCGGCAACAAAAAAAGTCTCAAGGAAATTTGTAGCAATTTATGTTTTTGCAATTTTCACTCAATCAGGAGAAATTCCAAAAATAAAAAAATGAAAATAAAATGCATGATGTGTTATATGTACGGTTGTCATTACTTTGACTCAACGTGTATACACTTGATATATATTTTTTACAGTGAAATTACGATTTTTCATGCCACTTGTTTAATTATGATGCATTTAAGTTTCCCACAGAAATCGTAGATTCTTTCTTGCGAGTTTTTGGCCCGTAATTAATCAACGGTGCCTGAAAATAAATAACACATTAGTATATCTTTATTCCCTGGATGTTAAAACAGTACAGAATGATAATATAGTTTGTAGGTGGGAAACCTTGGCATAGTCTTCTTAACCGCTTGATGATAATAAACGAAATATAAGCACAAACAGACAAAAGGTACGAGCCACCTGTTAGCCACTACCTTACTTTATGAACAAAAGCATGTTTTACGTTGCCTACGTTAAAATAACATTAAAAACATAATAACCAAGTTTGATAAAAAAAAAGTATTAAAGATAAGTTATCAAAAGAACTTATCAAAAAGTATTAATCAAATTAATATTAACGGATAATAAGATAAAAACGTGTTTATAATGCATTCTTTAAACAGATAATTAACACCTTTAATCGCGCCAATGTCATAAAAGGATTAAAATCCGTTGAGAAGGATTTTCAATAATATATATTTTTTAATTGTCTGACACATTCTACTCCATAATTTCATTAATCCTAATATCTGTCATTTAGCAGAAGTCAATGTTTAAAAAATGTGTCAGAAAAAGTAAGCATCATGCGCGAGACTAACTATTGAGAACTCATTATTAGCAGACACTTTTGACTATCAACTTTTAGTTGTTTATAAAAACACAGAATAATAAAGTCATAAAAGGAAATGACACGGATATTTATTTTGCATTTTTTATCCTTTTTTTATAAAAACACAATTACATACAATATATTAATGAGTCACACCTGGATTGATGTTTATGACACATAAATTAAATAAATAAATAAGTAAGTAAATAAGTAAGTAAATAAATAAGTAAATAAATTAGTAAATAAATAAGTAAATAAATATTTCATGATTAAGGCATTTTTTGAAACTAAACAAACTAAACCAATCTCTCGCATATACCAGTACTGAACTTTTCTCAGCATGTAACAACCAACTTCCACTCTAACATGCTATGACACCGTCTATTCATTCATAGTGATTCTTTCTCATTATTATACAATTACTTGAAGAGCCTATTTATTTTCATCGTATATATTCTGCATAAAATATTTATATGTAATTTACAATTATATCTTTTTGCCTACCAACATGCTTATATCATTGAGGAATTCTGCAACAAAGTAGCTATTGTATATTTTTTCATCTCTTCAGCTCAATTTTCGATGCTAATGAAACTGGCTTGTAGCAATAATAATTCAGCGGAATAAGCCATTTACAATGACTTCAATTTTTGTCTAATTAAAGTAATTGGGCTTCATTTGAAAAAGAAATTATGAAAGAAAAAAAGCTACATTTTTCTGCAATTTTCCTAAAATTCAACATCGCGTATACAACAAATTCTTTTCATTATGAATTTTCACAGCATTAAAATAGTGGCGAAAAATAACATTATTTATCTTTCATCTTAAAATATGCCCATGAATGTTGTTTATAATATTTTAGGCCATTATTAAAAAGTAATTGGTTTGTAGACGGGCTACGTAACTATTGAAAAAACTACTATTTTTTCCCTTTTAAGAAGCTGATTTTTTAGAAAAAATATATTCATACTTTAATTCAGAGCACCATGTTTAATTCAGAGTATACGTCACACCTTATGTTACGGTAAATACGGTAACGTCAAAATAACTTGTGTTTCACATTACGTTCAAAAATCAGAATATCTCTATATACTAGAAAAAAATTCTTATTCTTTCTCTGAAGGAAAATGTGTTAACTCTTCATCAGGATGGTAATAACTAATGTATCACTTACAGTGTTGAACATCTGAAGAAAACTACAAACATATATATCTTTATTAATAAATTAATTACCTTCAAACCCACGAAAAAGTAGTGGATAGCGCAACTACAACCAAAAATTATTTTTAATCATGGCCTTTATTGTATATATTTTCTCTCCTTTTATAAAGAAACTAGCTTGATGCTTACAAGTAGTCGCATAAACTAGATGATATCTTTGCAATGACATTCATGTACGGAATTATGTCTTGGTGTAGAAATTCAAAAATATGTGCAATTTTGGAAAATTAAATTCAACCGTTTCCCCTGTGTCATATCTGCCCATTAAATTAGATTAAAATCAAATCGATTACTGAGGTATTTAAATAGAGTGTTCTTGCATCATTACACACAGAAAATAGAATTTCGTCATCTTGCAGTTTTTTTTCCATTTTTTAGACATTTTATTTATATATTGTCAAATACTTTTGAAATAATTTAAATACCTATTCATGTATTTTAGTTACATAGTTAAAAAGCGTTATATTTTTAAAACTTTTAAAATTAGAAATCCCCATAATAAATACTTGAAAAGCTTAAATGCTAGATTTGTCATAGGGTACACCGACCGTCTCTGCGTTCTATCCTCCAACGCCCTGCCCCGCCCTCACTCCCGCCCCGTATATTCTATCAAAGGGAATCATTTACTATAGCAATATGAACTATATAAGTAAATGAAGCACATTTTTGGCCATTGAAAAATCTATTACGTAATTTGTCAGGTATGATGAATGTATTTAAAATGAATGGCTCAAGAAATTCCACCTTGGCGGATGCCTCCGAAAGTAATGAGTAAGCTATGTCAAAATAGTTTGATTTTTTGGTGAAGAATTAACGTATTTTTCCTTGGAAACCTTTTTATTTACCCTAAACCTGCAGTATTTGTGTAATGGATTTGCCCTGCATAGTCCATTCAAAGTTTAAGGGATTTCAATATCAAACTAGTACTACTAGTACTAAAATAGAGTAAACCACATTAAAGAGTCGGACCAATCTGCACTGATGTTGGGAATGGCTTGGCTATATACCAGTGGCAAAGGCTAGTCACTTTCGGTTTCAGCAGGTTAAGGGTTAATAATGGATGTACTTATCAAAAGCTTTGTCTGATAACTCTTGAATTGGTATATCTTTCTAACAACAGTTCAAAGAAAAGGTCATATTGCGTGGTTAGGTTTTTGAGGCCTTGCCGAAATTCATAAGATAAAAGATAAATTGCATTATCTTTCTTTATGTTTTAACGCTCGTTTGTGCCAGCACAAAATTAGTACACATTTTTAGCGGGGAATAAGTAAAAATCACATACTTTATCCCCGAAAGTAACTAATAAGTGGCTCTTAAACTCGGAATAAAAACGTTGAATTGGAAATATATTGAAATTAGACATAATTTGCTATTTTTACTTACTAATTACCTACTTGAGAGAATATTCAGTTTTAGGTAAAGTGGTGATGTTAGACATTCGTAAGATGTTAGACATCCAATTTGTGATAAAAAAGAGGGCGATGCACTGCGTATAAAAAAAATGTGTCGCAAATTTAAGTCAGTTCTTTTTGTCGCCTGTATACCTTAATAGCATCACATCCGTATTAAATTTAACTGTTATAGATATACAATGTAGATGTGTAGAACCTTTGAAAATATTTCAATTTTTCCCGTTAGTTTCTTTAAAAATATTTATAAAATAGCATTGTCTGTGTTTGGGTCTGTCTGTATACCCGTGTGTACACCTGCAAAAGCGATCGTGCGTGTACTTGTCTTTCTGCATTTCCGTTCATTAATTTTTTTTCTAGACCTTCCCCCAAAGTACTGTGCTTGCTAAATACTTCGACTCATGTAACTTAAAAGTAACATTATGATTTTTTAAGTTTAGTAAATGATTTCAAGTAGT